TCAATCTGGGAATCTAAAAATTAGAGATGACTAATTTGTTAATACTTTCCAAAACCGAAAAGAGAAACTTATCTCAGGTTGACGAAAGGAATTGAAGTGGCTAGATGCATTTGTTAGAATGTCCCAAGACTTATAAGATGAACGACGTACCACGAATAATCACTTAGTAACCAGAAAATACAAGAGATACTTCATACCTGCCTATTTGCTTATTGATCCAATTTAACAGGCTTTCTGCAGTCCGTCCATCATCAATTAAACGTAGCTCGCTTTTCTCTTGTTTAGGTTCCCAACTGGCAGCAACAAACTTGGAAGGAGGCCCCCAGAAGAGCATAGGATAATGACTCACAGAAAATTTATCACAAAGTTTGTTGTTTATCTGCTCTGCCAAACAATCAAAACAAGCCAAATAGCTGAATCATGCATTAAAGAGAATCCAGCAAAGACCACATCAGCAGGTTAATCTATAGTACAACAACATGGATAAGTGAAACGACAAAGGGCCAGCATTTTCAATTTTCAGATAGATGGATGGTACAAAAAAGTGGTGGCCTTCAAATAGTGCACCCTCCATCTTTATCAGTAGCTAATTTGAAAATTTTCTTTTTCGTTTTGATAAAAATTTCATTGTCTAATAGTAGCAGCCTGCACATCAGATATTCGCCAACACGATTACCTATCCAATTCGAAATTACTATATCACTTTGCACAACCATGCCAGTACTAATCCATCATACCACAAGTCCAGACATAAATACCTTTCTAAAGGAAACCAGAGTTTTCCAGCAGTTTTTTGTCTGTAAAGCAGAGTCTATCGAAGCAACAGTATTTGAAATCAAATGAAATGCTGATGCGATAATTTTAAGTACCTTCAGTGCACAGTCTACTCTTGTCATTAAAACTACCCCAGGATGAACTGCATCAGGTCCATTGAAAAGTCTAGCCACCCTCTCATATTGCGGCTACAAAATTGAATCTTAAAAAGTTATTAAGAAAAGAAGACAAAGAATTTAATATTTGAGATGTAGCGGTAGCAGATAGTACCTTGTAATTTCTACATGCAGGACACCTGCAAGATCAATAATCAACAGCAATCAGAAATTTAGTCATACATACCCAACCACCAATCCATACACCCATGCTGCCAGACAAAAAAACCTACATAAACACATGCATAAACACTCAAACTTGTTGGGCATGCGCGAGAGAGTAGCTCAGAGCTGTTCTCACGGTAGAAACCTAGAATTACAATCTAATGTACCCGCAATGCAAAACTGAAAATTTTGAAAATTACTAAAGCATTTGGTGCCTGTCATGCTGTTGCATAAGCAATTGTACCTATATAACCGTAGGGTAAGGGCTGTTGTTGCCACCTCAACATGTTGGAAGAAAGTAAATCTTCACAAATTTTATGTCAAATATATCTCTAGCATAAGAATTAATCTAAGTGAGCATCCTGGTTTCCAGATTTCAAAAGACCTAGAACTTAAGCAACCACTTATTTAGCTGCTATAGATTGTCCAAAATTGTGTTTTACCATTGACCAGGCATAACAGATTCAGTTAATCAAACTAATTCAATCTCAGATGCCATATAGCCAAAACACAGAATGGCATAACAACGTAGGCTAAGTGAAATCTACCTTTCCATCCACAAGCATGCAGGGTCCATGCTTGCAAAGCTCATTCTTACAGATCATTCCTTGAAAATGCAGGGTTGGTCGCTAATTTGGTAAGTTGATGTTTTACTTGATTGGGCCAATCATAATCAAGCTATCAGGTGTGTTAGTATTTAGTACTATGATCAGTTGCAGCTATCTACTCTTCTAGTATTACATGCCAACTCATAGCAAAGGGAGAGCATTGGGGGTGAAAAAGCCTGCATCTCAAAATACAATGTTGTCCTTAAAATTCATATTCTAAGCAACTCATCCATAATATTTCTGATAAACCTGCAGGTCGCATGATTTTTTTCATCTCTACTCCTTCAACTGGTGCTCCTATTGGCTCCAATAATTTCCAACATGATATCCATATCCACAAACCAAAGGGTTGCATGGATCAATACTAGTAATGAGGTCATTCCGAGTCAATATTAAATTAAAATTTTCTGCAGCTTGACCATGAAGGGCTCACTGACATGCAACAAAGCAACCACAAGATAATGTTTCGCAAATGTTTGGAGGCTCAGAACAAACTGTCAAGTCTTGACTATATACCCAACCAAAATTATCATGTCCATTGATGCAAGGGCAATCAAGCCCAATGAACAAATGCAGTAATCACTACACAACATTCAGTCCTTTATCTCATCAGCCACCACAGATATATATTTGTTAGTGAGGAGGACCGCCATAACCTCACCGTCTAATGGTTCTTGGCAGCTTGCTGCTCTCTCTGACTTAAAATAAAGGTCGATGAATATATGAAGATGGTCATGACTTTGTTTCCCTGATGACCAGCAGAACAATCTACAAAAGGGGTCAGCCCTGACTTAATTTTTGTTTACTGAACATGCTTCAGAGCTACCTCTGTGCTGGCTACTCGATAAAAATCCATCCTAAGCGAGTCAACCAGCTTTCACCCAATGACGACAAATCTTTTCCTACCGCTACCAAGTTCCTAATTCAAGTGAAAATATAAATGTTCAACACAGCCAAAGGGAATCAGATATTTCTCGCACAGTCTTCAGTTGCTCACGAGCAATGGAGTAACAAACGAACATGCTACTTTATTAGCTCAAACTACTACCTCGCGTCAGATGCGACACCGGTAGAGCTAACATAAGCGCGCCAACAAACCCGATCTCAAAACTACCAGAAACGAAACGCTTCTATTATCACCTAACACCAATCAATTCGCCGGAGAGACAGGTTCCGGAACGGGAAATGAATCCCGTCGAACGGCGCTTCTTAACCAAATCAAACGGCGAAGCATCATCGAACACGCACGCACGCACGCACGCACCGAAACCGGGCCGCACCGATGCTATCGAGAGAGAGAGAGGCTAAGAGAAGCACTGACCAGTGGGCGAAGAACTCGACCACGGCGTAGGTAGCGGGGGTGCCCCCGAGCGCGGCGTCGAAGCTGGTGGCGTTCAACTCGACGGCGTAGTCCGCGGCGGGGCCGCCGGCGCCGACGGCCCGCAGGATCGAGCGAGATCCGTCGCCGCCCCCCGCCGCCGCCGCCGCCCGGTGGGAGCTCAGTGGCGCCAGATTCGCGAACAGCAGGATCACAGCTATCCAATACATGGTGGAAATGGATCCCGCGAGAGAGAGAGAGAGAGAGAGATAGAGAGACAGAGGAATTTCTCCGATCCAGCTTTGGCGAACGGAGCTTATACGGTCGGATTCGGGGAGGAAACGGCTCGAATTTTGGAATTAAGGTTTGGGGCGGGGGCGGAACGATGTCTTTTCGTTACAATTAATATCGGATTTGCGGATTAGTTACGGATTTGTTCGGGGTTTTGGTCTTGGTGGGTGTCGGAAAGACATTGGTGGGGGCCACACTTCCCCCACTCGGCGCGGGCGAGGAAAAGTGAGCGCTTCACGGCTCATGACGTCTCGGCCTTGACCTATCTATATCTATGTGCAGCTTCGAATTAAGACGGGCCAAGAAGCCCACGGTTTGGCCCTGAGTTCATTTGTTTTTTTTTTTCTTTTTTAATTACTTTTTGAGATAGTCGAGGTTTAGTGGTAATGGCTGCGATTACATGATTCTTTTGAAAGCATTTTTCTTAAAAAAATATCGATCGGAATAAGAGTTCGGCTAATGGAAAAAGAAAGATAATGGAAAGGGCTGATTAGCGGGGGCGATGTTCATTTATTGGTTTGAGCCGTGAAATTCCAAGTATAGGTCGAAATCAAAGCTCCATACCTTCCTTATCAACGACTCCGTTACAAAGAGTAGCGAGTGAACACATTAAGTGTGTAGGTCCTATTAATATCTAACAAGAGACTATCCATTACGTTGTTCAGTATACTAATTTTGCGAGAAAATTACCAAAAAAGTCATGCACGCACTTTTGCCAATTTAGTTATAAACCTTTTAATTGTATCAATTGAGCCATAATCAGTTTCACGTTTTGTCAATTGAGCCCATGCGATCAATTTTAGCTGAAAATCATTAACATAGACACCAACCATCCTACATAACATGATCGATACTAACATGGGCAACTTTTCAATAATATTTTAATATTTTAATAATTTATTTGTTTTTACTCTTTCCTTTTCTTTTACTTTTTATTGTTTTTTGAATTGAGGGCTCATGCGCCTTCGCTTTGGCCGGCGAGGGCTTGGGGCCAACCACAACGAGGGCCATGAGCCCTCGCCCAGTGGCTGGCGAGGGCGTCCAATACCGACAAGGGTCGCCAGTCCTCACTCCAAAAAAAAAAAAAATCAAGTAAAGAAAAGGAAAAAAACCATAAAACTCAATAATATCATTCAAAATGTCCACGTGAGAGCCCTCATTGTCAAACACATCTGCCCACTATTCACCCCCCTCGACATCACCCCCAACAACTTGCGGATTGGACCCTTGCTCTCCAAGAACTCACTCGCGGCATAATCTCTCTCTCTCTCTCTCTCCGTAGTCTATCTCTTCACCACCGTCGAGCCCTCATCGAGATGCGGCCATTGCCGTCGGGATCTTAGCAGCATTGAAAAGCCTAAGACACTCCCCGGGTAATTTATTTCGGTAGTCTGAAGTGCAATAGGCCGTCCATTTTGACTACATTGTATGGTCTCAATCTTGCCTTTTTTGTTTTTATACGGAATTGATGGTTTCCCTTGCTTCTCGAGCACCAAAAAAATGCAACCCTCTAGAACTAGAATTACCTAATATTTGCAGATCTCGCGGTATCAAGACATGATATCTTGACAGAGAAGGTTGAACAACTAAACATTCCAGCAATGATTAGTCAATGAGCATATATAGCGTGTTCTTTAAGATAGAGCAAGCAAATGTGAATCGACAGAGGTTTAACAAAAACCATTACAGTACAGTACTGTGATTAGTTATATTCACTCCGATATGAAAAAGAAGCACACTACATGAAGGATTCAGCACAAACTTGTTTGAGTTGGGGACATCCAGTTAACGGCCTCGTTGACTTGAACTCAGATTTCTGCTCCTAGTCAATTCCCTCTTCCAGAAAATTTATCCTAGGCATTTTTCACACCATGAAACAACGAACAGTATGTACCAGTGGAATCACTACATATCCTCTTCAGACTTTTTACGCTTGAGGACCACAAAGAATGTGATGGATTCATGGCTTTCTGGCTTCAGGAAAAAGGGAGATTTCGCCACTTTCAGTGAGTACCAGTGGAACAAGTCGTCAATGATCAGTTCATCGCCAAAATGATGGAGCAATAATCCCTCAAATGCGGCTCTTAAGCCTAGGGAGCGCAATTCAGGGGTGGAAAAAGCGACTTGCATTTTGGGGTGGCTCAGGGTCTGAATCCTCTCGATGTGGAAGAATCTGTTTCGACTGATCACTTGTTTCAGCTCCTTTTCTGATGGGAAATACATTGGCAAGTTGAAGCTCTCTACTTTGGCCTTGCTTATGATCCCCTGCTTCCCCAAAATTCATTTTCAAAGTGATAATAACCCTGCTTAATTCTTGGAGCCAAATAGTGGTTTTTGCCAGCCAAATAGTGATTTTCGCCGCTTGTAATTTTTTTTATGAAATTTTCACGTGCAATGTCAATATCTCACCGTGTTTCAAACTGATGTTTAATCGTTTAATAAATAGATTTCAACTGCACAAATCCAACAAATATTAACATCATCGAAATAAAATAATATTTTTCATCTTGGGATAGACAGCGGAAACAACCAACAATATGTCACACTACATGGTTTTCACTTGGAGATGTTATTTTTCATGAAGGTCATTACATTCTTTGTAGCATGGATTTGTAGACATGGTATTGCCACTTTCAAAATTTTACACTCCAAAATGATCTACGGAACCACATGGTTACTTATTTAAGGAGATCTCCTCTGAAAAATAATTCTTGTGAATGTACTAAGTTGGAATAATTAGGACATCCAAGCTAAACACGCTACCGCTAACCTTCATGAAACAAGTATTAGTAAAGCGAAGTTTGGTATAATTAGCATTGCCAAATTTTGTTAATTATCCTGAAATGCATTATTGCAATCTCTCTAATCTTATTCTTGCATACGGTCTCATGCATCAAGTGTTACCCCATGCACGCAATTACGTACCGTATTGGCCATGTCCACAAGGCAAGAACCTAGCAGCTCGAACTCTGACCCTATGGTGGTCTGAGAATCATGAACCAAATCCGGCTCACCAGGCACGACCATAAATATCAATCCTCCACTGACCATCTCCTCCGCTCTCGCACTGAGAAACGCTTCCAGGTCTCTCCCGAACTGAGCGGAGTAAGCCCCGATGACCTCGGCGGGCGAGCTCACATGGTAAATTCTCTCTCCATTCCAAGCACGGGAAGACTTGTCCAATATCTCTTGCGGAATGCAGGACAGCCAGTGGAGCGCGCAGGATGAGTACGCAAAGTGTAGGGATGCGGTCGGGAGGAGGCGGCCATGGAACGACCCCGGGGCCGCCGTGGTGTAGTACCGCTGCCTCTCGGGCTGGAGGTTGGCGAAAAGCATGTTGAAGTCATTGGTGGGGAGGTCGTTGAAGATGGCTTGGAACTCGATGGTACGAAATTGAGGTTGTTTGATGGGTTTGATGAGGTCTAAGAGGCACTGTATTATGGTTTCAATGGCTTGAATGGATGTGAGTCCTGTGGAGCAACCAAAGTCTGCTATTCTGATGATGGGGTTTGGAGAGGATGAAGAGAGGTGATTGAGATCAAGGGTTGTGGGTAAAGCTTCCTTCATCATTCTCATGGCTGCTGCAGCGACTCCTTTCTGTAGAATAGGGCAATATTGGCGATTACTTTTGCAATACTTATTTCCATATGTCCAATCAAGACTCTTCCAAAACACATCCATATGTTTTGTAGATAGATTGTCGATTGTCCAGCCACTCTAACAATGTACGAGATGCAATGATTCACTTAACATCTAACACATGCACTACCTCATGAAGTGATATGTAAGTGGAGGTCCACCCCATAATTAGTCACCGCTTGAGTACACCTTTTAAGGCTTGCCTCACTTGATGGATCAAGTTGAGTCTTTGCAAATGATTTTATGACAGTGATAGCGTTTGATGCAGCAGAACCAGGCGATGACATGAATATCGGAAAACACTAAATTTGCAAGCCCGAGTAGCATCTCAAAATCTAGCAAACTTGCGCGATAAGAGAGAAAATTCGCCTAATAAAGGTTATAAAATTCTGAGATAATAGTGAGTAGAAGTCGATAAATGAAGAGAGAGCCAAAGTGGATGTTAAAGAAAGGCTGAGATAGGACAATCTGATAATGAAACTTGCACGAAATTATGAGATCAAGGGAATTTTGAGGTTGGTGAACCAAATTATAATAAAATATTTAGGAAAATTTTAGTGAACCATATTATCGTACTAAAAAAAATCATTTGTCTATTCCACCTAAAGTTTAAGCTAGTTATCTCGGGAAAATTATCAAATAAGTCCTAAACCTTTTGCAATTGTGCCAATTCAGTCCTAAACCTTTTTTTTTTTGCCAATTCAATCCTAAACTTTTTGCAATTGTGTCAATTCAGTCCATCCAGCCACTTTTGGCCGGGCGGCGCTGACGTGGCAATTTATAATAATTTTTTTTTATTATTTTTCGAATTTTTTTATTTTTTTCTCTTTCTTTTTTTTTCGCCTATCTTCTTCCCCGGCCGCCGGTCCGGCGACCGGCGACCAGCGAGAGGCTGAGGCCGGCGAGGTCCACCTTGCCGGCAGTGGCGAGGGCCAGCCTTGCCGGCCTCAGCCTCTCGCCGGCCTCAGCCTCTCGCCAGTGCATCTATATCTTTAGGCAGTGGAAAATGATCATCTACCCCTTGAAAGATATATCATCAAATTAGTACTATGTTGGGACGCATATAGAAGCGCTTTGTAAATGAAACCAGTTTATACACGAGCTTTCTGTTCTAGTTCTTCAGTCGATGCAACATTTAAACAAGAGTTTGTATTCTTTTCACAGCTAGTAGAATAAAGAAGAGAAACGTTAAGCGGGCTAAAACTTTTTTACGGAATTCAATCTACCGTGTGACGCTTTAAGAATTATAAAAAGTGACACGACCAAAACGATCTACAGACATTATAAATTATATTCATCTTGGATAGGAAATACCTGATAGGAGGAGTTCTGGGCATAACTATGAGGTCCGTTCCCTCCGTTCATGGCCATTGATTCAGAGATGCTAATCGTCCTCTCATCCTCCATTCTCTCTCTCTCTCTCTCTCTCTCTCTCTCTCTCTCTCTCTCTGCCTGTCTGCGCAGTTTGGGTCGTGCAATATATAGCATGCGACAACGATGCGGATTTGGTAGGGGAACATGAAATGTCAAGGTGAAAACGTGAAACACGTGCATTAGATCTTACGATTGTAAGCAAAGAAGAGGTTACCAAGAATACAATTCTTTATATACTGTAATACTAATTAATTACCAAGTAAAGATCGGGCTAGCTATGCACAAAACAAAAGCACTTGCAGCAATTTAGTCGACCAACTATATTTCTATCTACGTCATTAAAGTTGCGTTGCAATGACTTGTGAGAACCCTAAGATTAAAATTGCTCATGACCATGAGCCGATCTTAGGTAAAAGTGCTAAAAAAGTCCTAAACCTTTTGCATTGATGCCGATTGAGTCCTTAACTATTTATTTTTGTGTCAATTCAGTCCTTCCGGCTAATTTTGGTTGGATTTTGTTGATGTGGACGCCGGCCGCCGGTGTTGACGTGTACAACTTTTAATAATATTTTAATATTTTTTGAATTTTTATTTAGTTTTTTTCTTTTTTTCTCCGTCCCCTCCCTCTTCCCAGCGACCGGTCAGAGGCCAGAGGCCACCTCATCGGCCTTTGGCGAGCCACGCTGGCCATTGGCGAGGCTTGCCCTCGCCAGCGATGGTGAAGGTGAGCCTTGCCATGGTTGGGCAAGGCTCGCCCGGCCCTCGCTAGAGGTGGCGAGGTCACAGCCTTCGCCCTCACGGCCTTTGGCGAGAGCTGGAGCCTTACCATGGCTGGGCGAGACTCGCCCGGCCCTCGCCAGAGGCGGCGAGATCACGGCCTTCGCCATCGCGGCTGGCCAGCGAGGCTGGAGGAAGAGGGAGGGGAGGGAAAAAAAAAGGAAAAAATATTAAAAATTAAAAAAAAATATTAAAATATTATTAAAAGTTGTACACGTCAGCAACGGGCCAGTTGGCATCCACGTCAGCAAAATCCGGCCAAAATTAGCCGGAATGATTGAATTGGCATAAAAACAAAATGTTTAGGATACAATTGGCATAAAAAAAAGTTTAGGACTCAATTAGCACAAATGCAAAAGGTTTAAGACTTTCCTGACACTTTTCCCGCCGATCTTAAGAGTCCTTTTGAGATCGATAACTTTGGTTAATCATGTGCGAGAAGTTAAACATATTGGTTTATGTTGATTGGGTCCACCTTATGTGGGGCCCAGCCAGTACAAACAAAACAAAACAAAACAAAAAAAAGTAAAAAAGTGAAAAAGAAAGAACAAAAAGAAAAGGGGCAGCTTCGTGCGGTCATGGGAGCCCACAGAGAAGAGAGAGAGAAAAAGGCAAAGAGCACCGAGAGCGAGAGAACAGGGGAGAAGAAAAGGGACGCATCTTCGCGGTCCCGATTCGAGGGCCAAACGTTGTCGGAATTGGCTCAAATTTTAGTATGTTGTTCGTGAGACCGATGGCTATGAGTTGATCGGTTTTGTTCGTTGAGAATCTTCTCCTAACTCTCCATTCACGGTTAGGGTTTTCTCCTCCATTTTATGTAAATCCACCTTCGCGGTAATGAAAATGATGTTGTAATGTTGATGTTGTGCCTCTAGTGTGTGACTAGAGAAGAACTTGGTGTATCCTACTATTCTTAGTGATTAGTGAAAGTTTTTGGGGCGGTCCGTAGTTTTTCCCGCTTTGGGTTTCCACATTAAATATTGGTGTCGATTGTTACATTTGTTTCCTTATAATTGCGAGCTTATATTGCTGGAATATTGTGGGTTGTTGTTGGAATTAAGTCGATTTTGGTCGGTTTAGTTTCGGGGGAGATATTGATCCTCGATTGGCTTGGTTCTTGGTGAATCGTTGCCGCGGTTCTCCCCAACAAAGTGGTATCAGAGCTAGCGTTGATATTCTAGTATTGAATGGAGGAAACTAGTGGCGCCATGTTTAAGTTAAATGCCTCGAATTACAATATTTGGAAGCCTCGGATGGAAGACATGTTATATTGCAAAGATTTATTTGATCCCGTTGAGGGTGATGAGGCTAAAGGAGATAAGGAAGATAAAGAATGGGAGCGTATGAATCGGAAAATGGTTGGGTTTATCCGACAATGGATTGATGATAGTGTGTTTCATCATGTTGCTCAAGAAACAAAAGCGGACACTTTGTGGAAGAAATTGCAAGATCTCTATTAGAGGAGAACCCCACAAAATAAAGCTTTTCTAGTTAAAAGACTTGTGAACTTGAGATACAAGGAGGGAAGTAGCATGTCGGAACACTTGAGTGAATTTCAAGATGTTGTAAATCAATTGACAAATCTTGAGATTGACTTAGGTGATGAATTGCAAGCATGTCTATTGCTTGGTACTCTTCCCGATAGTTGGGATACTTTTGTTGTGGCATTAAATAACTCAGCTCCGTTTGGTGTGCTTTCTATGAGCATGGTCAAAGAAAGCCTATTCAATGAAGAAACAAAGAGAAAAGGCTTGAATTATGCTTCTAAATCGGAGGCACTTGTCACAGAAAACAGGGGGAGAAATCAATCAAGAAACTTCCAGAATTTTGATAAAAGTGGCAAGTCAAGAGGAAGATCGAAGTCCAGGCCGAGGAGGAGTGTGAACTGCTACAATTGTGGCAAGATGGGACATTATGCAAGAGAATGTAGGTTGCCAAAGAGAGAAAAATTCCATGATAGAAATGCAGATCGAAAGAAAGAAGAAAAGCAAGTTACAATGGCAGTGGCATCCGACGGCGATATTGTGTTCATTTGTGATGACGCTTGTGTGAACCTTACATGCCAAGACTCTGGTTGGGTTGTTGATTCCGGAGCTTCATTTCACGTCACCTCACGGCGTGACTATTTTACTTCCTATCGCAGCGGTGATTTTGGTTGTGTTAGGATGGGAAACAGTGGTGTTTCCAAGGTTATCGGCATGGGGGACGTTCATTTGGAAACCGACGTTGGATGTAGTTTGCTTTTGAAAAATGTGAGACATGTTCCGGATATTCGACTTCACTTGATCTCCACAGGTGCCTTGGATGATGCTGGTTATTGCAATATCTTCGGTGACGGCAAATGGAAATTGACCAAGGGTTCCATGATAGTGGCTAAGGGTAAGAAGACATGCACTCTTTACACCATGCAAGCTAAGTTGGTCAAGGAAGATGTGAATGTAGTGGATGACTCCTCAGTTGATCTATGGCATATGAGACTCGGTCATCTCAGCGAGAAGGGGCTTGAAACTCTTGCGAGAAAGAATCTCCTACCATTGAAGGAGAAAAATCTGAAGGAATGTGCTCATTGTCTTAAAGGTAAGCAACATAGATTCTCATTTCATAGTTCCTCTCCACATACGAAATCAAATGTACTTGATTTAGTTCACACTGATGTTTGCTGCGTGGATGCTAGAACACTCGGTGGTGCATTGTGCTTTGTGACATTTATTGATGATTGTTCTAGAAAAGTATGGGCTGTTGCTTTGAAATCTAAAGACCAGGTGCTTGCAACTTTCAAACAATTTCATGTCAATGTGGAAAGAGAAATCGGGAAGAAGTTGAAATGTGTTCGAGCTAACAATGGTGGTGAATATAGAGGCCCGTTTGAACATTATTGCAGAGATTATGGCATCAAGCTTGAGAAGACTGTTCCAAAAACACCACAACAAAATGGAGTGGCGGAAAGAATGAACCGGACAATTAATGATCGGATTCGGTGTATGCTCTCTCATGCGAAATTGCCTAAGTCATTTTGGGGTGAAGCGATGAGAACAACAGTAGACTTGATAAATCTTTCTCCATCAATTCCTCTTAAGGAGGATGTTGCACAAAGAGTTTGGAGTGGGAAAGATGTTTCATATAATTACCTGAAAGTCTTTGGTTGCCGGGCATTTGTGCATGTTCCAAAAGATGAAAGGTCGAAGCTTGATGACAAGTCTAAACAGTGTATTTTCTTGGGTTATGGACATGAAGAGTTTGGCTACAGGTTATAGGATCCAGTTGCAAAGAAAATCATTAGAAGCCGAGATGTGGTATTCTTTGAGCATCAAACCATTGAAGACATTGACAAGCTAGGGAGGCCAAAGAATGCAGCTCAACATTATGTTAGTTTCAGCCCAAGTCCTCCTACCGTATTGGGTGGAAATCACGGGGGAGAAGTACTCGGAAATCATGAAGATGGTGAATCCTCACAAAATGTTGATCCTTTAGATGAGACGGGTGAAACAGTTGAGCAAGAACAGCCAGTTGAGCCAGTGGAGCCAGTTGAGCAAGAACAGCCGGTCCTACCTAAGGTTAGAAGATCTGAAAGAGAACGTAGGCCCTCACAGAAATATCAGCCGCATGAGTATGTGTTACTCACCGATGCAGGAGAGCCAGAAACTTATGAAGAGGCTATGTCATGTGATCAAAAGAACGAGTGGTATGAAGCCATGCAAGAAGAGCTCAAATCATTGCATGAGAACCACCCATTTGAATTGGTGAAGTTACCTAAAGGCAAAAGAACACTCACAAATAAGTGGGTGTACAAGTTGAAGACGGAAGAAAGTAGTTTGCAACCACGATACAAGGCTAGGCTTGTCGTGAAGGGTTTTCGTCAAAAGAAAGGAATTGACTTTGAAGAAATATTTTCACCGGTTGTAAAAATGCCTTCTATTCGAGTTGTTCTTGGGTTGACCGCCACCTTGAATTTAGAAATTGAACAACTTGATGTAAAGACGGCTTTTCTTCATGGAGATTTAGAGGAAGAAATATATATGGAGCAACCGGAGGGTTTTATAGTCGAAGGCAAGGAGCACCTTGTATGTAGATTGAGAAAAAGTTTGTACGGTCTCAAGCAAGCGCCAAGGCAATGGTCTATGAAGTTCGAATCATTCATGGAAGATCACGGGTATGGTAAGACCAATTCCGATTCTTGTGTCTTTATGAAAAGATTCTCGGATAATGATTTTCTTATCCTCCTACTCTATGTGAATGATATGTTGATTGTCGGGCATGATGTTAAGAAAATCAATAGTTTAAAAAATGAGTTG